TATACTTGTGTGGAAAATCCATCCAAAGTCACATCTTTGCATGTGAACGAAGGGAGCAGAATAATAACACAATGTCAACAGAAAATATTGTTGCTGGTATGGGGTTTGCTCCAAACCAAGTGTCTTCCCACTCTTGGGAGGTGTAGAAGTGAATTAACCTTGGTGGAGAGACACTGCTTCCCTTGTTTGTCATAAGATGCCCCTTGTTCCCTTTTCAGTGCACTTTTTTTTTAATGTTTATTTATTTTTGAGAGAGAGAGAGAGCACAAGCAGAGGGAGAAGCAGAGAGAGAGGGGAACAGAGGATCTGAAGCGGGCTCTGTGTTGACAGCAGCGAGCCTGATGTAGGGCTTGAACTCACGAACCGCGAGATCATGACCAGAGCCAAAGTTGGATGCTCAACTGAGTCTCCCAGGTGCCCCCACGCAGTGCACTTCTATATTTCATCGTTATTGTCATCACACCCGAAGGGTTATTACTTTGGGCACTTTTGTACCATTCGGGATTTAAGTGGATTGGAGAAAACCAGAAAATTATGATTTAAATGCTTTTGGAAGTAGTTTTAAAGAATGGCTTTGAATTATTATGAAAATATGCATGGCTATTTAAAAAGTTTCTTATTTGCCAGTGACTGTCATTTTCACAGACATAAATATAGATTTGAAACCCAGGTCAAACCACCAGTCTCTATTTCTGACTTGAGTCCTGGTGTCAGGGTAAAAAATGATGAAGAAGGTTTTTTTGGGGAATAAATTACTTTCCTGCTCGGATAAATGAATACTTCCAGCTTTTATGACAACATATAATTTTTAGTCCCTTATGATATATTACTATATACCATTTAATAGTCTCCTCAAATTCTTTTTCAAAATAAGATGGGCCATCATCACATACAAATAAGTGAAATAGTGTATGTAGCAGTGTTGTAAGCAGAATAAAGGCCATCAGCCACACAGAAGACATAAATCCTAATATGTAGAAGCCTATTCAGACATGGATATCATTTAATGTCTTTAATGAAGGATTCGTAATGTCCGTGCAGGAATAATTTACCACTCAGTGAAATTTTTTTTCCTGAGCATAAATACTCAATTGGAGGCACTCTTCTGCAAGAGGTATGTGTAAATATGTAAACTGGCTGAGACACAGGGCTTAACTGTTCTGTCTCTGAGGATGGGCCAGTGGAACTGTACATTCTGTTTAACAAATATTTATTGAGTTCTGTTCTGGTTATCTACGCTGTGTAACAAACTACCCTAAAACTTATTGGCTTAAAACAACAAATTTTTACTGATGCTCAAAGTTGATGGGCTCAGCTGGGTGGTTCTCACTTGGGGTCCCTCATACAGTTGTCCTCAGATGGCAGCAGAGGCTGGTGTCATCTACTGGCTTTTTTACTCATGTTTCTGGTGTCTGGTTTGGCACTGGATTTGGCCTTAAAAGTCACTGTGCTAAAATCTGTTGCCCCCTTTAAAAAAAAATATCTATCTATCTATCTATCTATCTATCTATCTATCTATCTATCTATATATTTTTTAAGTTTATTTATTTATTTTGAGAGAGACAGAGACAGCACAAGTGGGGGAGGGACAAAGAGAGAGGGAGAGAGAGATAATCCCAAGCAGGCTGTGCACCATCAGCATGGAGCCCGATGCAGGGCTCGAACTCACAAAACCATGAGATCATGACCTGAGCCAAAACCAAGAGTTGGACGCTTAACTGACTGAGCCACCCAGGTGCCCCTAAATACCGTTGCTTAAAGGAATCACACACCAGCCCCCATTCAGTGAGAGAGAAGAATGGACTCCACATCTCCATGGGAGAGAATGAGCTGTATATATAGTCAAGAAAGACTCTAATGGCAGCCATCTTTAAGAAAAGCTACCATACATCTCAACCACACGTGTGATAGACACTGAAGTCACAGTCCTGAATGGAATGTGGTCCTTCCGCTGAGGAGATGTGGGGGTGATCCCAGGCACAGAAGAGGATTGGATGATAGAAATGAAGCTCATTGTAGAGACAAATGGGACTGTGGAGGTATTCTGATCTACCCCAGCACCGCTGTGAAAAAAAAAAAGGCCTAGAGAAGCAGTTCTTCATATTTGGACCAAGAGGGGCAATTTCTTGAACAGAACAAGGATCTACAAAATATACATTTCATGTCAGCTCCACAGCAGGAGGGAGATTGTTGGGTAAAACAGTTGCTCTGTAAATGTTAACTTCCTGAAGAAAACTCTTGTTCCTGGATAACCTCATGGCCCTGACAAAAAACTAATGGCAAATCATTTTGTGCCATACTTTCTTTGGTTCCTTCTGTAGACTGATGAAAAGCATAAGGAGCCTTTGAGCTAAAAGTGCAGACCTCACTGGTTTTAATCATTAGCAATCATGCCATCTTTGCTAAAGAGACCATGAGACATGAAGAGATCTGAGTGTATTTTACCCTACAGAGTTTGTTTGTTTCTTTTTTTAATGTTTATTTTTGAGAGAGAGAGCATGAGAGAGGGGCAGAGAGAAGGGGAGACAGAGGATCCAAAGTGGGCTCCACGCTGACAGCAGGGAACCTGACGAGGGACTCAAACTCACCGACCATGAGATCATGACCTGAGCCCAAATCAGACACTTAACTGACTGAGCCACCCAGGTGCCCCTACAGTTTGTTTCTTGGCTTTCAGATGCAGCTTGTGTGACCTCCTCAGAGAGATCTTTCTGATCACCCTGTTGAGAGAAGTGAAGTCTCTCTCCACTTCCAATTCTCAATCACTCTGTCCCATCAGGATGTTTATTTCCCTCATTGCACAGACCACCACCTGCATTTATCTTTTTGGTTAATCCTTACTGTCTTTCTCCCTCCATCAGAATAGAGCTGACTTATTCACTTCCTGGCACACAGTAGCTGCTCAATAAATGTTTTTTAAAGTAAAAGAACAGATCTTTAGAGTCTGGAAAAAGCGCCCTAGTGACCATGGAAACGGTTTAATTAGGCTGGTATTCATTCTCTTTTTGGAGTAGAGAAAATTGAAATGCAAAATTCCCCAGGAGTCCAGATGTGCCCCAAATCTTCCACTAAATTTACTTAGTCACTACTCTGAAATCAGGCCTGGAAGTGGTTTTCACAATCTCCTTTTATGGCTGACACGTTTGGGGAGATGACAGATTTAGGACTGGAGTAGGCAGGACTGTCTCTTGTAATGCCCTAAATATATTGGATTAGAATTGATCTATCTATCCAGAATTCATATTTTCTCATTCCTGGCAGATATACCAGAGTAGTCCTGAGGATTTAAGATCAACGCACCAAGAGGTGGCCCCTCCAAAGACATGTCTCTTTCAAAGGCTCTTTGGGTTTGGATAGGTGACCAAGTTGTACAGTGTGGTGATTAAGAGCATGGATCCTAGGGGCGCCTGGGTGGTGCAGTCGGTTAAGCGTCCGACTTCAGCCAGGTCACGATCTTGCGGTCCCTGAGTTCGAGCCCCGCATCAGGCTCTGGGCTGATGGCTCGGAGCCTGGAGCCTGTTTCCGATTCTGTGTCTCCCTCTCTCTCTGCCCCTCCCCCGTTCATGCTCTGTCTCTCTCTGTCCCAAAAATAAATAAAAAACGTTGAAAAAAAAAAAAAAAAAAGAGCATGGATCCTGGAGCTGGGCAGTATCCATCACCACTACTTACCTTAAAAGGAGCTTTGTAAGTTTCCTTTTAATTTTTCTGCCTCAGTTCTCTGCTTGGGAAAATGGAGATTGTACCCACATTTACCTACATGGTTGGCATAGGTTAATGTAGAGCAAGCAGTCAGAATCGTACCTGGCACTTGGTAAGAGCCATCTAAGTGTTTGCTAACATTACTGTTCATGGATGCCATCAACAGAGTATGTGAGAACCTGCTCATGACAACATTGAAAGTAATTGAGGGCAGGTAGCTTATGGGTAAGATTTTTCTTTTAAGTTATTTTTATACTGTTTTCATGAAAAAGACTGTCTCCTTATAATGGTGATGTTGAGGTATGAGGACAATTATACACTATACCTTCTTGTTCAGATGGGAAGGAATGCTAATATAACCTGGAGACACAAATAGACCCACCGAATATCTGCTGCCGGGCTCAGTGAGGTGCTCATAAAGGGTTCACATTATAAATTAAGGGCAAGGTCAGACTCTGAGATGGTCAAACACCAGCTAATGGTGGTGGTGGGGGCAGTCCATTTGGTGAGGTGGGTGGACAGCCTGGACTTCTGGGCCTGGCTGCCACTTCCTAGTAGTGTGATCTTGGGTGAACCAAATAAGGCCTTTGGCTTGGTTTGCACATCTCTAAAATGGGGATAGTAATTCTAGCCCAACCCAAAGCATTTTGAGGTCCAAAGGAGAAATGAATGAGAAGGACTTTCACAATGGTTAGTTTTTATAAAAACATCAAACACTGATCTTCCAAGGGTCTGGAAATGCCTGTGTTCTCTCTATATCCCCACTGCCAAACCCTCTCCCTACCCCCATTCCCTTTCTCTTCCTGGACTTGAGTTCTTTTATTTTAGGCTAAACATCTTGACTTCTACTGCCATACACATATATTTGAGATATAGGACACTTCATTCTAGGGGTTATCCTAAAGGGGATATTCTAAAGGGTGAGTTTAGGGGACTAACTGTATTACATGGGCATCTGAGAGAAGAAATGGGTATAAAAAGGGAAAGCTGGCAGGTAAAGAATGGTTACTGATGAGTTGATTCAAGGCTGGCCTTAGTACCAGCAAAAGCAAACAGATAATGTGCACTAAGAAACTGCTTTAGAATTTAGTGACTCACAAGCCATCGATCATAGGAATGACCTTTGTTCTCAGACAGACCTGGGTTCCAATTCTGACTCTGCAAGTCACTTGACTTCTTGGAACTGCAGTTTCCCTATCGGTAAACTGGGAGTAATAAAACCAGCATCCCATAATGAGGACTGAGTTGAGTAGAAAACGCCAAGCACGCGGCTGATATTTAGCTGTGTGGGGGAGCCTTACCAGGAATTTCCGTTTCTGCTTCCAGTGGCTGCCTTGGGCATTGGTGGCCACGTGGGCTTCCGTGACAGTTTTGATGAGCTCCCACTCCTCGTCTGTGGGCTCTGGCTTGTGCCCGATGGATTTCTGCAGTTCTTCCCGTCGTCTCTTCTCCCGGTTCTCCTCAATCAGTTTCCTCTTCGCCAGCCTCTTGCTGTCATCCAGTACCACTGGGAGAGGAGGAAAGATGAGACAAAACACACGGACACTCCCAGACACATGGCAGACTGCGTGTGCACCCAGGAGCCTCAGGGGCGGGGACCACTCATGCATAGATGGCTTAGCGGGTCCTGCAGAGTGGGTCATGCTGGGGTATTTTCTCCCCCCAGCAGCAAACTGCCATCAACTAGCTTGTCTCTGACACGAGACCTAGGGCCGAACTCCCAATGGCTGGCCAGCTTTTCAAAAAAAAGCTCTGGGGGGAGTTGGACACTGGGCATCCCAACTCCACAGAAGGTGAGCCTAAATAAGAATGAAGCAGAGGGAGGTAAAATCTGTTCTATTCACGGCTTCACAGATAAGTCCGTCTAGCCATTTATCTGAATTCACTCTTAGGGTCTCTCTGTTCCTCCTTTCTTTGCCTCAAATGGCTCTCAGTAAAAAGAACTTCCGATTAAAGAAAAGTTCTGGAGCAGTAAACAGGAGGCTAATGATCCCCTTCCTCAGATAAATAGGGCTTTCTTGAAAATATTTTTTTTAGTGTTTATTTATTTTTGAAGGAGAGAAAGACAGAGTGTGAGCAGGGGAGAGGCAGAAAGAGAGGGAGACAGAGTCCAAAGCAGGCTCCAGGCTTTGAGCTGTCAGCAGAGAAGCCCGACGCAGGGCTCAAACCCACAGGCTGTGAGATCATTCATGGCCTGAGCCAAGGTCAGATGCTTAACTGACTGAGCCACCCAGGCACCCCTCTTTGTTAGCTCTCTTAAGTGCTAATTGAAATGTGGCTCAACCTATCTGAGGCTGCACAGGTACTCACTTTGCTCTAGTCTCTACCTGGTCTATCCTCAATGGTGGTTAAAGAGCCCAGGCTTTGGAATCTAGAAAGAGCTGGGTCTGAATCCTGAGACTACCACATTCTAGCTGTGTGACTTCTGGCAAGTTGCTCAGGCTCTTGGAGCTTTTTCATTTCTTCCTGTATAAAACAGGCTCAATAATTCCCACTTCAGAGGGTGTTCAGTGTGATAATGCACTACATGTGGTCAGTAAATATAGCCATGACTTTTACCATTTGTGCAACGGGGAAATAAGAAGGGCAGGAAAAAGAAGCCTATACTTCTGGGGTTAATTTCCAAAACAAAGCCATTTCACCAGACTCTTAGTAACTATCAGTAGAATGGAAAGGCTCAGGTTTTATGCTACAGAGTCATAGTATTTAGAACTGGAAAGAACCTTAGGTATTATCTAGCCCAACTCCCTCCTGTCACAGAGGAGGAAGTTGATCCAGAGAGATCATGACTTGCCTAAAGTCACAGAGCAAGTTCATGGCAGAGCCAAGGCAAGACCCAGGACTCCTGATTCCAGTTCTACAACATCACTGTCCTAGAGCCATTTCTTGATGAAGGTGTGACCTGGTAGGAAAAGAAAAAAAGCAAACATAGCAGGAAGAAGAGAACCAAAAGTACTCAGCTAATCCACAAACAGAATAATGAATCCCAGATCATCTAGACTTGATTGGATCATCAAAGTCAGGTGAGCAATGGCAAATGTGGGAAATGGGAATGAGCCCTGTTTAGTCATTTAGGTTCCCTTATTAAAGGGATTGTTCCCTTTAATAAATGGGATGTAGTCATAGCCCCATTTCCCAAATGCTTCCTCTGTGCTGGGGATTGTTGCATTTAACATGCATTATCTAATTTAATCCTGAAAACAACTTGCAAGGTAGGCAATAATTTCACAGAAGGGAAACCTGAGGTTAACTCTGATGGTCACACAGCTAGTAAGTGGCAGATATGGGACTCCAACAGTTTTTCTGATTATAAAGCCTGAGCTCTTATAATGCTTCATAGGGTGCATTCAAAATTAATTTCCACCCAGTCCAGATTAACATTGAGCTTTTTTTTTAACCTTATAAATATTCATCTCTTTAACTTCTCAATAAAACAATGAAATGGATACTCAATAGTAACAGTTCCTTATAGTGGCACATCTAAATATTTGGTTCTAGGTCAATCATTTCACATATCCCGATCAGGCATATTGTTGGCCGTGGCTAAAGTCTTTAAAAGATAAAGACAAAGAACACACTCAGCCGGAGGTGGGGATTAACCCAGGATTTCCAGCCTAAAGCCGTCACACAACCCTCCTCCTTTTTAAAGATTCCCCACTGTGTCTTCTCTAATGGGCAAACCAGGACATTTCACAGATTTTTTTTGTTCTAGTGGAGGGAACCCTTTTTATCACATAAATGTGAGCCATGATTATTTCCTCTTTCATGAGGAAAATCCTCACTGCATTCTTTTTTCTTTCTCTCCTTTTTTTTTTTTTTTTTTTTTTGGTTTTCTTCTCTTTTTTAAAACCAAAAGTTAGAGACTTTCACTGAGGTGCAAACATTTATGCCAATAGAAATCATTAACCCTGACGCCTGGCAAAATGGAGGCCACTCACTCTGAGTGACACAATTCTTATTTTATTATTAGATTAATGAAAAGAACTGGTGTAAATCCCTTGCACAGTGCGAGAAGAAGAGACTCCAATGGCTAATCTCACTGCCATATGCTGTGGCACTTTGAAAACTGGGTAGGAGGACTGGAGCTTAGAATGTTTTTATGGCTAAAAATATAACAAACACCCAACTGCAGGATGACTCATGCTATATAGCACTCAACCTCACATTCTTCAGAAATTACTGAACACAATGTTTTCTGCCAGTGCCCCGTCTCCAAAAATGTCCACAAAATAAATTCTTGTCTCTTCTTTTGAAAAATATTAGGACTAGTCCACAAGGCTCTCACCACATGAATGTTGTGTGTAAAACCACACCTCATCCAGGTGAATGGACAAGACCGCTCATTCATACTCTCTTGCAAACCGAGTATTGCTAATAGTCCTGCAGATGTGCTAGGGATAATTTACTCACTTTCCCTTACCTGTCGTCTAGATACTTTGAGAGTTAGGAGTTGATAGGGAAGGGGTAGGATGGAAAGCACCCAGCAATGACTGGGAGTGAGGGGTCGCTGGGAGTGCTACAGGTCTTCCCTCTGTCCACATGAGCCTCTGTTTCTTTTCTGCCCAGTTGATCTCCTTGAACCAAACCTTTCCCCAATCAACACTCCTTGAATACGAAAAAGAGGAAAAAGATTACTTACAATCTGTTGCCATGCCAACATAGATGCATTTTTTAAAGCGACATTCCTGGCACTGATTTCGCGTAACTTTGTCTATGACACATTTTCCTTCATATTTACAGGAATAGGATGGATGGAGATTTTTCTGAATGGTTCTTCTAAAGAAACCCTACACGAAAAACAAAGACCAAAGACAACAGTTTCATATTTCCTAGAAATAAATGACTCCAGAATTTTGTGTCCACATAACTGTGATGGATTGTTTTTGACCTTTCCTATGCATGGGCTTGTACCTTTACTTATTCACATATAGGACAGTTAGCCCAAGCTGAATCTAAAGAATTCTATATCTGAGCTGAAGGAAATGTCCAGGACTATAGAGTCAATATCTTTTTGGCATTTAGTAAGGAAAAGAGCTTAATGGGGAAATCTAGCGTTCATTTTTATTTTTTCTAAACATTGAGTAATAAAAATAAATCATATTCTTTCCTTTCATAGAGTGTCATAATTATGTTGTTAAATTAAGCTGTGAAGAACCTTGCTACACTTTGTGCTGGAGAATAAAAGAGCTGGATACTTGTTATACTCTATTAATTAATAATTTAATCATTTGGTGATTAAATGGATGCATTAAATGACCTTCAGAGATTTAGTTTAATTCTTGTTTTTGACTTTTGCAATGTCCATTACCAGCTCAGATAACCCTTGAAATAACAGTACTTGGGGAATAGAAAATTCCAGATTCTCTACCCAGATTTTCTCAGATCTTAATGCATTGGGGTTTTGCCTTTCATAGTACTCTTTTTCTCCAGTATCAGTAGACATATACCCTGAAGATCAGTAGGTGTCTTCCTTTCTTAAGATACGGGAGAGTGCCACCATAAAGTCTGCTGAGCATGCCATTTAGTCCAGGTTTAGGTGACACAAATATCCTCAAGACGTGTTATAGTAGAACCTTCCTGGACATGATACTCCAGTCTTGGCAACGGAGTTTCTGTATTGTAGGCATTAATGATGGTGGAGGGCACTTTTCGTGAGGGGTACATTGCAAAGGGCTGTAGACACCTTCCATATCCTTCTGTCTCTTCTAACAACCTTATGAAGTAGGTACTCTTAATATCTCCATGGTAGGGATTAAAAAACTAAGCCTCGAATAGGTTAAATCACTTGCCCCAAATCATGTGGTAAGTACGTTGTGGAACTTGGCCTAGAGCTCAGGAGTCAGACTCCAAGTCTTATTTACTTAACTGCTTATATGATACAAAGTGAGTTCAGTTTTACTGTATTATTTAAATGAACAGATGAACAGATTATAAATAGTACCCCCCTTGCCTTCATTTTATCTGTTTTAGTAGACTAGCAAAGCAGAAACACATTTTGAAGGATATTATCTACTAAAGCTTAAAGGGACCTCCAATTTTGTTACGTAAATAGTGGGACTGAAATACCAGCTGACCTAGATTAAGCCCAAATTTGAATTATCCTGGTTAACTTTCCTTGGCTTTGATTATGTATACATACTCCTTGCATATTCATTATTCAGACATAAGAGCCCTTCCTTGTAATGAAAAGGTCAAAGGTAGAATTTTATATCGGATGAAACAATACAATGGAAAAATGACAACAATAACTGAAACTAATGGACTTGATTTTGGGGTATGTGTGCAAAATCCCTTATCATTTCTATTGCTCAAGTTTCAACAGGAAAACTGTCACATAGTTGGGTTTTGTATCCTTAAACACTTGAATCCATTAGTTTGAATGATGTTGATATACACTGATATACTCTTATCTTATATAAGATTCACTCAATCACACATGGGCAGCTGTTTGACATGTCAGCAGTATCTCCCTGGGTATTCAAGGTGGGCAAATTCTGCGAAAGCATGAATTCCCTGGGCATGTCACAGAACTGAAAAACCAGCTCCCCTGTGAACCTCCCTATTCCACCTCTGCTACCCTCTGTCCAATCCACCATTCAAGGGTTACGCCTGCCTGGAGAGCAAAAGAGACCTGGAGATTCCTGGCAAGAAGACATGTGTCACAGACAGGGAGGAGAGGGACTGGGTGGCATACCTCCTTCTGGAGGAGGCAAGGTCTCCCCAGAGGTGGCAGCACCAAAGTCCAGGGCATCTGGGGAGAATGATGCTCTGAAGATAGGAAAGTTGGTACTCTGAAGTTAGGGAGACCCTTTTCTCACATACTGTGACATTGTCTCGTGTTTTAGAGGGAGGACAGCATACTGAGGAGTCAGACAATGCTAAGGAGAGGATCAGGTGTGGTGTCCCAGACACAGGGGTGACATTCATTTTTCCAAAAAAAGCTACTTTGTGAACTTTTAAAAATGGAGTGAATGAAATAATTTATACTTTGCTTATTTTGGGAAAAGTGTTGGGGTTGCAGGCTCTGCTTTTCCTAGTGACATCTTCCCTGTGGCTTATCTCTGATGGCTTTTCTTGGGCTCTTCATAGACCAGATCCCTTTAAGACTCCTAAGCTATAATAAAAGCATATTTGACACAGGATGAAGGGCCACTGGAGTGGAGTAAATGTAAATGTAAAGGTACTAGGTCCTTTAATTTTAAAAAGGGACAAAAATTAACTTCTGCAAGTGAACTGAATACAGAATGTTTAATGTAGTCTACCTGTAAAAAATCTTTTTAGAGGTGAACTAACAAAAGACGTGCCCCAGGGACTAGATAAGGACATATATGTCACTGATGATTTGTTGGCGAGATGGGGTTTTGCTTTTATAAGTCAACATCAGACGTGTTTCTCCGCATTTTGAGAAGGACTAGATCCTCTTATTAGTGGTCTGATATGATGCACTAATTAGTGTGATAAGGAGCTAAGTGTCATTCTGCTGGTTCAATATTTGGGCAACTTATAATAGCTGTGAATCTTTCTCAGAAAAATAATTTGTTGTGGGGAAGTATCACCATTCCTTCTGTAAGAGATTCATAAAAACTGGTTCATCAAGACAGACAAAACAGCTCCAAAAGATTTTTACTGTCTTCAGGGGAAAAATGGGCAAAAAAAGTTTCTCCCCATATACACTGCAAGTATGGGGTAGAAATATTTTAAAGTTGTAGGTTTGAATAAACAGAATGTGAAGCATGACCTTTTTCATCTTTGGCCACTCTTAAAAACTGTTTCATTCAAAAAACTGTTGCCTTTTTCCAAGATACTTTGTCCTTACATTAAATGCATGATCACCCCGGGAGAGCTGCTTTCTGGTTTTATGATGGAGGCCATCCTAGAAACAGGATTCTGATCTGAGATAAAGGCATAGAAGCTGAAAAATCTAGCTTTTTGCTACATGATTTCTTTTAAGTAAACCTCAGTTGAATCAGGCTCTAAACATCCTGTGATCTTGGGAAAAGAGGCTAGTGGATTTCTTGATCATCATGAAGACATACATAAAGCAGGGACACAGGTTAATAGGCTTGATTCTCCCTTTGTTTAAGTCAATCACTAATAAGCATTAAGTTCTCTGCAAGGCACATTTAGAGTCACTTTGGGAGTTGAGTATTAAATGGAATTTTCATTAGAGTCTCTTCCAGAATTCAGAATTTACCATTAGTAACTGATTTTTGAAAGAGTCTCAATGCTGCATAATCAGATAGGCAAAGCTTTATGAATTGGGGCTAATTTAGAAAAAAGGCCTGTTTGAATTACTGAGCTTTCAGAATGAGAGAATATATCTACACTAATGCAGTTTTATTACTTTCAAATCAAGCCAATAAAAGTGTGCTTTCAAGAGACAGTCTGCAAGTTCCCCAAATTAATAAATAGTCAGGACTTATTTGTAATCAGTTCCGTTAAACTCCTTAAGACATTATTTTCATAGATGAAATAGCAATCTTTAGCATTGTCTTTGTTAAAAGGTACACATTCTAGATCAAAGGGGTCTGAATGAATGAAAGCACACTACATCACATTACAAAAAACAGCCTTGCAGATATAAGGCCTTGGGAACTTAGAAATGCCTGATTCCACTGGATATATCATTTCATCACTTTAAGCAGGCTTCTGCTAAGGGTTTCCTAATTTTATGGGTAAAAAATAGGGAATTTTCATGGAAGATCTTCCACTAGGGAAGTGGGGCACCTTATCTTGAAACCAAGCTAACATGCTGATTTTAGGGGTTTTGGGTCAAAGGTTAGGAGAAAAGGGGGGGTTAGTTGGAGGAAGGGAAGAGAGGAGAAGAGGGGAGGTGGGCAACATAGGAGGGAGGACCGAATTATTTTAGACAGTTTAATACAGCCTTTGCCTTAGGGTTTACATTCTGTGATCATCTGGTTTTAAATACAAAAGTAAATAAAACATTCTACAAGAAAAAATTTAAGAAGTCTTTCCCTGACTTATTATACTTCCTCATTTATAAAACATTAGCTGAACTTTGGATGTAGCCCTGGGTTAAGCTTTATTTATTTTATAGTGGATTTTATTTTCGAGGCTAGGTTGTTGGACCAAAAGATATTTGCCAAAAAGCTCATCTTAATTTTGATGATGAAGAGTATAAGTAGGCAAATTTAGGCTCACTTTTGGGAAATGAAGTGTTCATCACTGGTGTATTCTTGTCAGGTATCTCCTGAAGATGGGACTGTAGAGCATAAAATTAGCTGATGGATGCCCAGAATTTACTTATTGGCTGAAGGCTGTGCAGAAAGCCAATGTGAGTAATTTCAGAACACAATTGACTGTAAGTAAGTAGCCTCAAAGATATTCCTTAATGGAACCCTTAAAAGTGAACATATTTACTCAGATTAACAGCCTGGAGTAGAGCAAATCCTGTCTCTTCAACTACTGCTGATAAAACAGGAGGAGAAATGGTCATTTCTTGGGAAAATATATTATAAAACATCTATGCATTTTTAAACTCAAAGTGAGAATATTATTAATTTCTTTTCATCTTTAAAAAAATTTTTAATGTTTATTTTTCAGAGAGAGAGAGAGGGAGAGAGTGAGCACAAGTGGGGGAGGGGCAGAGAGAGAGGGAGACATAGAATCTGAAGCAGGCCCCAGGCTTTGAGCTATCAGCCCAGAGCTTGACATGGGGCTTGAACCCACAGACTGGGAGATCATGACCTGAGCCGAAGTTGGACACTCAACCAACTGAGCCACCCAGGTGCCCCTAATTTCTTTTCATCTTATGAGTTCTCTCCCTGTCTTCAAAGCCAGACATTATACTCTTGCAAAACTTTATTTAGTTATTTTTGATTTGATAAAAAAAATAATAAATTCGTTTCTTGAAAATGCCAAAAAATGAGGAGGACAACCAGACACTTGGATGGTAACAGGCTGTGAATGTTGGAATTTGGTTCTAATTTCAACTTAAACTTCTTGTTGCATTCTGTTGGAATCCTGGGAGGGGACAGGAGCTGGGCTGGGCGCTAAGCTCACTGGTCCAAGGGCAGTTACCTTGCAGCCTTCACACGTGATGCAGCGGTAGTGATACCCCGTGGCTTTGTCACCACACACTACACATAGCTCGTCCTTGTCTAAGTAACTGGGGATGTACCCTGTGACAAGGAGAAAAAAGGAATGTGAGAAAACAATGTCATGTTAAAGTCAAAGACACACCCTAGCTTGGAGGAGTGGAGGAGGATAAAAAGAGGACTGGAGGTAAGGTGCGGCAAGGAGGAGGCAGGATCAAACTGTTTCGTACATTTGAATACAACTTTTGTATTGGGGTTTATAGCATGTGCTCATTTAGTTTTAAATGTAAAAGGTAAATAAAACATTTAATGAGAAAAAATTTAAAGCCTTTCCCTAATGTAATATACTTGCTCAGTATCTTATACTTATCCACTATCTTATCTCACACGTACAGAGTTGATACTAGGCCCAGGATTTCCAAATGCCTTAGAAATAGGTGTGACCACTCTTGCTGTGCAGGTAGGAATATATCTGAAGTCTGTTGCAGCCAATAAATCATGCAGAGAGGGCAAGATTTGAGATGTCTGGAATGCTCTGGGTTCTGGAGAACACAATCTCTTTTGTAAGGCTTATTTCAGAACTTTTTCTTAGAAGACTGGATCGACTTTGGACTCAAGGTACCATGCAATAAATTCAGAAAACTTCATAGCTTGGAGATCGTCAAGTACTCTTGAGGTGAACAGGTTTTCAGAGGTTTGCTTGGCCTTCCTAGGGGTCACACTAGAAATTAAAGCATAGATCTTCTAGCCAGATCTCCTAACTTCTAGTATAAGTGATGATGATATTTTTCTAAAAATAGACAGTTAACTTTAAGTAGAATGAACAAGCCATCTAAAATTTTTATTTTTGGTTAAACTTGTGACATTATGACACAAAACCCAACAACACTGGGTAGTGTGAAATAATAGAAGCTCTATTTATTAAGAAAAAAAGAAAGTCCATGGGGCGCCTGGGTGGCTCAGTCAGTTAATCCTCTGACTTCTGCTCAGGTCATGAGCAGTTTGTGAGTTGGAGACCCGCGTCTGTACTGACAGCTCAGAACCTGGAGCCTGCTTCGGATTCTGTGTCTCCTCCTCTCTCTGCCACTCCCATGCTCATGCTGTCTCTCTCTCTGTCTCTTAATAATAAAGAAACGTTAAAAAAAAGTTAAAAAAAATAAAAAGAAAAAAATAAAGTCCAATTATGGTAACTCTCTTTGTTAGTGTCCTGTTGGTTTATTAGTTTAAATTCCTTGGCCCAGGAAACTAAAGTTTAAAAACAAAGACAGAAGCAACCCACTTCCCACTGGTCTTCGCCTCTTCCCCTTCACTTGTAGACAGTGTCCAAACACAAGAAACTGATTCTGAAGTGCAAATTCGGTTTCATTTGGTATCAGTGGTTTACCACAGATGCACACAGCTTTAGATAAGTGCAAAAAGTCAAAATAAGGCCTGCTTTGTTGGGACGTGGAGAAGGGAGGGGCTGAGATAACAAAATAATTCCTTCCTGTGATCACGGCACCTTGTGAAGTTCTTTGACTTGGTAAACTCTTATTGGTTTCAATAAAGATTAGCCAGGTTGAAATGACAGATGACTTACTGTATTTTTTACCATGACATTTCATAGATTCTTTATTAAACTAGGTCCGAGAGGGCTTACTTTTCAGAAAAAAATATCCATAAAGAAAACAGAAGAAAAGGAGTCCTTTTCACAATTTCATAGAAATTACTTTGCTCAGATTTTATTTTAGAAAGATGGTCCCTCTTGGGAAGGAGACAAATGACTTCAGAGTAATCTGGTAATATACAGGATTATCTTCTTAAATATCACAGCTTTTCTTAGTTTACTTTTACATCATGCCAACCATGAGTCATCTGTTGAATTCACTTCAAGAGTTTGAAAAATCTCATCAGACATTTCTAAAAAGAGAATTCTGGGAGGGATCTTCACAGACAAAAAGGGGGCTGGAATGAGGGATGTGCTTATTCAATCATTCATCTATTCATTAATTCAGAAAACAGTTATTTACCATCTACTAGGTGCTTAGCACAATGGTTGGTGCTAAGAATATAAAAACAAATTAAGACATGGTTTCTTCCTTTGGTAAGCATAAGCGTAAGAGACTGTGTTAAATTTCCAGTCCTGGTCATTCTTCAATGCAAACAGAAAAGGTGAAAATGAAGGAAAGAACATGAAAGACGCTGAACATCACCGTACAGGAATACAGAGCCCAAACCACAACGAGACACCATGTAACATCCTTGAGGATGGTCATAATAAAAATGACAGACAATAACAAATGTTGATGAGGATATGGAGAAATTTGAACCCTTATATGTTGCTGGTAGGAATGTAAAATGTGCTTTAGAAGAGTTTGGCAGTTCCTGAAAAGGTGAAACATAACGTTACATATGACCCAGCAATTCCACTCCTGCATATACACCCAAGAGAACTGATAACAGGTGTCCACACACAAACCTATTCATGAATGTTCAAAGTAGCATTATTTATTATATCCAAAGGTTGGAAACAACCCAAATGTCCATCAAATGGTGGGTGGATAAACAAAAGGTAGTGTATTCATACAGTGGGATATTATTCAGCTGGAAGAAGGACTAAAGTACCGATACATGCTACAACATGGATGGAACGTGAAAACATTATGCTATAGGAAAGAAGCCAGACATGAAAGGCCATATATTGTATGATTTCATTTATGTGAAATGTCTAAAGCAGGCAAGTCATAGTCAGGAAGAAGGCCTGGAGGGAGAATGGGAAGTTACCTGCTAATGGGTGCAGAGTTTCTTTTCAGGGTGCTGAAAATGTTCTAGAATTGTATAGTGTTGTTGGTTCCACCACTCTGAATGTACTAAAAACCACTAGAAACAATGGTTTTTCATGGATATGTTTTGTACACTTTAAATGTGTGAATTTTATTGGTATGTGAAATGTGTTTCAATAAAGCTGTTATTATAAAAACAAAGAAATGAAGTAAAAGAGAACAGTTCCATTTGACAAATATTTATGTGGGTATACAATGTGCTAGGCAATGTGCTAAGGGTCTAAAGATAGGCTACATTTTCATTCTTTCAGATCAATAACAGATCATCTGCATATAATGTCGTAGGCACTGGGTTAGGGCTATGTCCAGAATCACAAAGGGGAAACTCTTTGAGGAGCCTTCCTGTCTACCCCCCAGCTCACGTCAAACTTGGTGCTCCCATAAACTCCTTGTGTTTCCCCGATAGTAGTCCTTTATAATCTACATTATAACTACCTTTGAGTTTTTTCTTCTCTTTGACCACAATCCTTGATTCACTATACGTTTGTACAGTTCCAGCTAGAGGGCAGGGATCAGAACATTCATGCTGAAACCCCACTGTCTATCTAGCACCTGCTTCCTCTGACAGATAGCATCATGGCTTTCAAGATGTATCTGGAACTTGCAGATGAGCAGACTTGAAGCCTGGAGGTATGCCTGAGAAAGCTAAAAGATCTCAGAAAAGATTTCTCAAAGAGGTGATAATGCAGAGGCAGGAGCCCAAATATCAGGCCTAATGAAAAGTTCATTAGAAAGTTTGATTTTTGGTAAAGAAAATGAGATTCCACTCATTAAAACTAAGACATCCAGATTGATACTCATCCAACACTTAGTGATCTGGGGATGCATGCTCACTAATGAACTGGACTTGGTCCTGCTTTCTTTGCTCTGATCACTAGGTTCCATACAGTGAGACAGGACTAAAGAAAGCTTAAGGGCAATACCATTTTCTCACAATAGAGAAATGAAAATCACTATGACCAGGCATTAAGATGCCATCACCAAAAGAAGAGATTTGCAGTCTGAATTTTATATGATGTGCTCCACTTTCTACTTGGGGCTATATAAACCACTATCCATTAACTCAAGAGTGTTTGCTTCTGGGTAAGTTTCCCCTTCCCCTTTACACAATCATTAACCTTAAGTCCCAAGGTTGTATATACCACTGTCTGCTAGGTAACTGATGGTGCTGTGGCTCAAATTTAATAAGAAATCTAACAAATCTACAGGAAGACTCACTAGGTGTTGATTCATTCCAAACAGTTTTGGGAGTCCCTCCATAGAAAGAAATAACAGAAAACATTCCAACAGAGCTCTGTGCCCAGAGAAATAACTAGTTACCAAATGTGGGAGGGGGAGAGTCCTAGGGAAAATGGCTAGAGATAGTCTGGATTTAACTAACACCAATGGAATTCAATGGTCACTCTTTAGGAATCAAAAGCAACGTGTGTATTAGTTTCTCATAAATTTTCTTTTTACATAAAAATTATACAAGTAGTGCAGTTCATGATAGAAAAAGTAAAAGACAAAAATGAACAAAAAGCAAATTTACCTATCAACTCTCCACCACAGTGATAAGAACTGTAGCATTTTGATATTTCTTCATCTTGGACTAGTATGTGTGACAGTGTGTGGCATGTGCTTGTGTGTGCACAGAAACACAAACTTCTAAAACACAAAGTAATGTTTAAACAACAAAGTAACCCAATTATTAAAACACACAGTCTCTTTAACAAATGGTGCTGGGAGAACTGGACAGCAACATGCAGAAGAATGAAACTAGACCACTTTCTTACACCATTCACCAAAATAAACTCAAAATGGATAAAGGACCTGAATGTGAGACAGGAAACCATCAAAACCCTAGAGGAGAAAGCAGGAAAAAACCTCTCTGACCTCAGCCGCAGCAATTTCTTACTTGACACATCTCCAAAGGCAAGGGAATTAAAAGTAAAAATGAACTATTGGGACCTCATGAAGATAAAAAGCTTCTGCACTGCAAAGGAAACAATCAACAAAACTAAAAGGCAACCGACGGAATGGGAAAAGATATTTGCAAATGACATATTGGACAAAGGGCTAGTATCCAAAATCTATAAAGAACTCGCCAGACTCCACACCCAAAAAACAAACAATCCAGTGAAGAAATGGGCAGAAGACATGAATAGACACTTTTCTACAGAAGACATCCAGATGACCAACAGGTACATGAAAAGATGTTCAACGTCACTCCTCATCAGGGAAGTACAAATCAAAACCACACTGAGATATCACCTCACACCA